TGCACACCGTTTCTCTGTGGTGTCCCTGGTGAAGTATAAGCTGAGATTTGTCGGTTTCCTTCATGGTTCGTGGAGTTTCTAGCAGTGTCTTGCCCAGTAGCTGCTCCCAACTTCCCTAAGTGAAGGATTAGAGGCAGCCCTTGACTTGCCTTCCACTTGTCTGGTCTGCTGTTGTAGCCGTCTTAAAGCTTTAGGGCCAGCAGGTGGCATAGTGGTTAAGGCGCTGGACTCCATGTGGCCAACCGCTGTTTGAGTACTAGGCCCAGAGGCTTGAAACTCAGGCCAAGTGTGTGTGCGCATATGTGCCCCAAATCCCAAGGAGAATGGAGAAGGGATTGAGGCGTGGCTGTCTTCCATGGGAGATGATTTCTCACTTTCTGTCTCTCTGTCTCTCCAGCTAGTACACATGCCCTATAGCAAAAACCTCTAAATTTCTTTTTTCTTCTGTTATGTTGTAATTTGAGCTTTCAGGCACCACTTGCCAGAGGATCACTTGTATTCAAAACTCACTGGGGTTTGATCTTAAACACTCCAAGTTCCTTTGTCCTTGAGGGCACTGTTGAGCAAGGTGCCCTCTTCCCTATAGGAAGAACCACCCACCCACTCACCCAGGACAGAAGCCTGAGGGTCTTTGTAGCAATGGTGAGAAGAAAACCTCGTTCTCTAGTCCAGCCTGACTTGGGAGACGGAAGTACTGCAGGCACCCCCCTCCCCCACCTCAGCCCTGCCGAGCAAACAGATCCAGGGGGGTGTCTGGACCCACTGGGGGGGTTGCAATTATGGGATCAGCTGACAACCCTTCCCTCCCCCACACCCAGGTCCAGAATCCTCCCATTTGCCAAATGTCATCCGTGGAGGTTCACCAGTCTCATTTTACCAACTTTCAGATGTAACATGCTATAAACCATCAGTTTGAAGTGTCAACCCAGTGTGTTCTGGTGTATTTACTGAGCTCTGCAGCTCTCAGGGCAAATTTTTATCGCCCCAAGGGAAAACGTTTGCCATTAGCAGTTGCTCTGGATGTTTCGGATCATGGAATCATGCAACATGTAGTCTTCATGACTGGTATTTCATTTAACATTTTTTTAAGTTTTATTCATTTCTTCCATGAGAGGTGCCCCCAAGAGGATTTTATTTTAATCACCAAAAGTTGTGTGCACTTGCCAAAGGAACACAGACAGAGGGTAGGGTAGAAAGCACCCCCTACGGGGCCCTGCCACACCACGATCCCTTCTCCATTTCTCCATCCTGTCAGGATTTGGGGCATGCCCGCACATGTGCCCAGCATGTTTCTCGTCTCCAGGGCTCGGATTTTGAGCCACAGTTGGCCATATGGGAGCCTAGGCCGTAAGACAGGCCCAAGAGGAGCTTGATATGAGATTTGCCTTCAGTCTCTGCGTGATCACAGGTCAATCATGCACTTGGAGTGCTCAGGAAAGTCCTGGGACTTGTGGGTCCAGTTGTGTTATCACTGTACCACCACCTGGCGCCAATGAATGTTTCTGAGGTCCGTCCGTTATCAGTACTTCTTCCCCCTTTTTTCCCCAGCAACACTCCACTGTAGGATGTACATTTTATCTGTCTGTCCCCATGTGATAAGCACTTGGGTTGTTTCCACTTCTGACTACTGTATTATTGCTGTAAGACTCCTGGACAGGTGTTTGCATAGATGAGTATTCTGGTTTCTCTTGGTTGCACACCAAAGGATCCTGTGGGTAACTGTTAAGTGAGGAACTGCCAGGCACTTCAAGTATCTGCCGATTTTACATCCCCTCCAGCGATGTATTTGATCAATTCTTACTCTGAGATCAGCCCCAACCAACTCACACTCCGTGTCACCTTCAGGTTTTCGTTACACTGCAAGTCTCCGGTGTGCAAACAGGCATTTTCCAATATACTTTCAAGAAGGTATTCGGAAAGAAAGCAGCCGACAACCAGCCACGTGGAGCAGGTTGTGCTGGAGCGGGCAGGAGGGCCGGGTCCAGACCCTGCTTCACCTGACCGTGCACTAGCAGGGTGCCCACGTGCACCTGTGACCCTGGCTGGCTGGGACCTGTGGGGAGGGCTGGAGCGGGTGCGACCTTGTGGACGGGTACCTGTCTCTCTCTCTCTCTCAAAACTGATAAATTTTTCAAAATTAATTAATGGGTTTTTTTTCCCCTTTAGTTTGCTATAGGGCATATGTGCTCACTAGAAAGAGACAGACAGAGAGAGAGAGAAGGAAAGTGAGAAAGGAAGTCATCAAGTCTGGGACTCCAACGGCAGTCAGCCATGAGTCCAGCACCTTAACCATCGCGCCACCTGCTGGCCCGAAAATTTGAAGTCAATGATGGATGGTGACAGTCTGTCCCAGCAGCCTCAGGATGCACCTGCCTGGGTTCTTCCTGTCACCCCTCCTCACTCCATCCAGCACAGGCCCAGGTTAGGAACCTTCCTGGGTAGACCACAATCACAGCACCTTCTACAAGGCAAGCCCCGCTTCCCCCCAGCTAATCTGGATCTGGAAGTTCCTTTGCGGGCAGGAGTGTATTTAATTTAAATGCTAAAGTGCCTCATTCAAATGCAGCTCCACACCCACACTGACAGGGCTGCACTAAAAGAGTGACTAGGCCTGGAGGGCCCCGGCATTGCGTGCTCGCAGCAGCACACGTGACATTCAAAGAAAACATACTCTCTAAAAGTTACAGAAGACTATCAGAACTGAATCCCCCTCAGGGTGCCAAGTGCTACCTCCTGTGAAAAGGAGACCCAGCGGTTCTGGTGAGGCCCTGGTCTTGCCGTTGCCATCCAGAGAGCTGAGGCCCAGGGGTGAGAGAGCAAGCACCCTCTCTCATGAGTGAGGCTCTCCCTGAGAATGTCCACGGTCTCAGCGCAGGTTCTACTTTCACAGGAGCATGTGGCTTGGTCTCTACTCATCCACTGATAGCCATGTTTGGATTAAGACCTGTCCCTTAGATTACGGTGCTGTTAGTGTTAGTGTCCACGGCTCCCACTTCGCTCTGCTGCCAGCTCATGTGTGGAGGGGTTTCTCTAGGGCAGGATGGATGGACCCTGAGGACTCCAGCAGTCAAAGGAGACCCGCTCCATTTCAGACAGTGGATCTGGCCCACACCCATGAGGACGGCAGAAGGATGGATCTCAGCAGGGGTGAGTCGGAAGGGCTAATGGCCCCTCATGCCAGACACCGTGCGGTTGCCCAAGCAGCTTCCTGAGTGAGGCCGGGCACACACGCGTGGTACCTGGAGAGGGGCTGGGCGATCCACATGCCCCTGCCCAACCCTGAGGCGGCTCGTGTGATCCTTGACAGGTAAAACTGAAGTGCTGGGCATCATCGAACGTATTCAAAGGAGCTAAACCTCCAAGACACCCTTAAGAAAATGGAAAGACAAGCTGCAGACTGACACAGTATCTCCATACCACACATGTGAGAAGGAACTTGTATCTAAAATTTATAAGGATCTCTTACAACTCAATAAGAAAATAACATTTTGTTAAAGACTTATTTTATTGACTTTTTAAAATTTGCTATAGGACACATACACTTACCAGGGAGAGACAAAGAGGGGGAGAGAGAGAGAGAGAGAGGGAAATTGAGAAACCAAGCTGCCAGGTCTGGGACTCATGTCATGGTTGGCCGTGTGGGAGTCCAGCACCTTAACCATCACACCACCTACAAGACCCCTTTTGCTCATTTTTAAAATGGCATGTTAGGGGCAAGCAGGTGATGTAGTGGTTAAACCACTGGACTGCCACATGGAAGCTGCAGTTCAAGTACCAGACCTGGCAGCTTGAAACTCATGCTGGGCACATGTGTGTTCATGCCCCAAATCCAGGAGAATGGAGAAGAGATTGTGCCATGGACATACTCCCTGGGGTAGGGGCCTGGTTTGTCACTCTCCTCTCTCTCTGGTGAGGGCATATCCCCTACTGCAAAAATCTTTAAAAGAAAAAAGAGCAAAAGCTGGCCAGTCTCGTGTCCTAGTGGTTCAGGGAGCCGGATCTCATAGGCCAACCCCGTGGTTTGAATGCCAGCTCTGGCAGTTTGGAAAACATATTGGACTTGGGTGCCCCAAATCCTGACAGGGAGAAATGGAGAAGGAACTGCAGTGTGACCACATCCCACCAAGGGTGCTTTCTCCCTCCCTCTCCCACGTTCTGGGAGAGGAGCATATGCCCTCAGGCAAATAAATAAAGACAAAAGAGAAGAGTAGGGACTTCATAAAAAGATATAGGAATGGCAAATAAAAGTGAAAACATGCGAAGATGCTCAGTCCCATTAGGAAATGCAAATGAAAAACACAGTGAGGGGCCAGCCTATGGTGTGGTCGTTAAGACAACTGGATCTCACATGCCAACTGCATGGTTCACGTCCTGGACCCAGCAGCTTGAAGAACACACCAAGCATGTATGTGTGCACACCTAAAATCCCAAGAGGAGAATGAAGAAGGGACTGTGGTGTGGTCATCCTCCTTGGGGTGCTTTCTCACCCATCCTCCCACTCTCTCTGGCAAGTGCATGTCATCAATAGCAAATTTTTTAAAAAGTAAAGCACCTCTGGGCCAGCATGGTGATGCAAGTGGCAGGACACCACTGCACGAGGCTGGAGCCACATGAGAAGCCCACATTCTAATTCTGGGTCAACCTGAACACATAGAGTACACCCCTGTATGCCAGTGGGCCTCGCTGGTTAAGGCTGAGTGGGCGATCATGGCATGGCAAGATGAGGAGGTGCACTGATGTCGAAGAGTTCCTATTTGCACATGAGTGTGTGTGCGCATACACACACACACACACACACACACACAACCTCCTCTCAAAAAAATTGCCTCCCAACAAACACTGACGTTCAATCACCACCAGAACTTACTTGACCCTAGGCCTGAAGATGTCGCTGTGTCGGCGATGGAATATTTCCATTCCATGCAAGTCCATCATTATTTTGTAAACACGAGTCCATCGACTATGTCTTCTCAATGAGAAAAAATGGCACAAAGTCAAAATATGGTTTGTTTGTTTTATTTTCCTATCTCAGTTTCAGGGGAAGATTCAGAGAACTGATGGACACATGTCATAAGCTACCATCACTCGTATACAGAATATCTACACTGCTCCTACGTTTGCTTCATCATGGAGCAGGTGACACCATCACTGTTCAACCCAAAGTGCAAATGAAGTTACTACAGAGGAAAAAGGACGTGTGTGTGTGTGTGTGTGTGTGTGTGTGTGTGTGTGTGTGGTCTTTTATTCTCAGGTACAATCACCACCACAGGGGAAAGCACTGGGCGTGACTTGCATCCCACAGGTTAAAAAGGCCATCGATAAGTACCTGCAGAGTACTTCCAGCTGCAAATTCGGAAACATCAGCCCGTACTGTGAAAGCTGCTCCTAGTTTTCCCATTTCTCTGCCACCACATGGCTACGCTGGAATTTAAGTCCTCTTCTTAGTGCAAATATAAAAGTGATCAAAGTCAGCATTTTATGGCAATCTTTTGCTAAAATATATTCTATTTTTTTAATATACATGCTATAAAAGTACGCTAAAAAGGTCAATCTGTAGAGCTCTGTTAAAGTTAAGAATTTACTTTTTTACATAGAGAATAATGTACACCCAAATCTAAAAGTATATTTGAGAAAAGCTATTGTTCTGCTCCCAAATATTCCTAGGTTCATATTTTGGTTATAATAATATTGGTTTTATAATACATGTATTCAGTAATGCTTTCTCCAGACTCTGTGCCACGATCCTCACCAGTGACTTTAAACAAAATTGTGGAGGGAATTACAAGGAGTTCTTTCCTGTGCAGATTACCAAGAGTTTTCCTTGTAAATTCCTCTCACAAAATTTCCACTTTATTTTTTAAACTTTGGTATCTCAGATTCTTTTATGATCAACATTTGGAGCTGTTAATTGAAAAAACAAAAAAAACACAACAACAAAAATCATGAGATGTTGAAAATGCACGCGTAGGTGCCCGATTATGAACGTGACCGTTCCCTCCTGTCCGAACACTTCCAGTGCCACGTCTAGGTCTTATGGAATAGTGTGGAATAACGCTGACCGCACACACCCAGTGCTGAGGACGCAGCAAATGCATGCGATACCAAGCAGTGAGGCTCCCAGCATCGTGTGGGACTGTCACTACCATAATCCTGCAGGGTGCGTGATGAGGTGCCAGTTACAGACCGTACCATGGGAACCAGGCCCCCTCCAATGTTAAGTACAGCAGTAGGACGGAAGTAAAAAATAACTGAAATCTGTCTCTGATTCAAACAAAAATATCTTCTTTTTTCATTAGCAAAACGGTCTTTGAAATATATCATCTCTCCCTCTGCACACTTAACCAGGAGGACAGGGCAACTTGATGGCTAAGCGCCCACAGCTGGATACAAAGAAGAGGACGGCTGTAGACGGCACACAGCGACAGTGGCTTAGTCCGTCCACTGATGAGACACTGGCTCTGATCGGGGCACAGCGTCCAGTCCACCGAGGGGAAGAAAGGTTTGACATTCATGTCCTTTTTGTTCTTGATGAAAAATCATTCCTGCCTGATTCTCATTCTTGGGGAAAAAATAATCAGCTGATGTCCTTGGATTTTATGACATGATGCTAAAGAGGAAGGGGACATAAATTAGGGATTGCCAGGTGGCTGGTCTGGGACTGGGTCTCCAGGCAGGTTCTCTGTCTTTCCCAGTAATCTCCAGTGGGCTGCACCAGAAACCAGCAGGAAGTACCCGGGACACAGGGACACAGGCAGAGTACCTCCTGGTCAGCTTCAGTTCCTCCCCTACTCACCCCCCTACCGATCTCACCACGTGCTCATAGCTACAGAGCTTGGGGGACAAGCAGGGGGCCTGGCCAAGGGGTGGCCCAGGCCACATGTTACTGTCTTATGCCACCTCCTGAGCGAGCACTCGTTCTCTGCTGAGCTCAGAGGAGGATCCGAACATTGTGCTCTTCATAACAGAATCCTTTGTCTCGAAAAGTTGCTGTGAGGTCATGTCTTCAAATGATTTTATCAGAAGTTGAATCCATGCATGTTTTCGGTCCCCCGCTCCTGAATTTTGAACCTGCTTAAATGGCAGAATACTTTCCCCTAGCAAATGATTACTTTGAAAAGTGGACAATGTCCTTTTTAGGGGGAGGATCCAACTCAGCCCTTCAGAAAATACTTCAGACACAAGAGGAGGAAGTGCAGGAAAACCGACTTCCCACTCTGCCTTCTACGGGGCATTTTTGCTAAAATTAAAAGCAGCTCCAGGTACAAAGGTAAATATTTGTGCAAAAGGGCACACTGCTAGGTGCAATATTAGGACACCCTCGATTTACTCGTTTTATAGTGTTTGACTCTTTAAAATACAAGTCTTTTCAACTATGAAACCTGGCAAGTACGGGGAAGGAAGTTAACATCAGAAAATGCACTTTAGAAAAAGTACAGGATATTCTGCTGGTAATTTGCTACTTATTTCATAACTTAGATCCGATAAGAGTTTGTTAAATATTCACAGTAATTTCAAGGAAACATTCATGTCTGTGAAACTTCAATCTATTACATTTTCAACCACTGTTGAGTTCTTTTTGTTCTGTACAATTATGAAATTTCCTCTGACAGTGCTTTTCTGCAGAATTCCTCCTTGTCGGTCCATCCCTCTCAATAGCCAGTTATACCTTCAAGGGAGGCTGCAGGATCCCCTTCTCGATGAGATGAGTCTTCAGGGTCTTGTATATGTTTAACTGCTGCTCGGGCTGAAGCACCAACAGCTGCTGCAGCACTTTGCTGGGATTCGGACCCCTGACGGGAAGGCAGAGAGACAGAGGGCATGCTGTTTAAATAGTGCCAAGTGAAGCGTGCAGTCCCAACTGAAAATAAACCAGGCCTGCAGGTACAGAGCGGCCGGCTTTGCAGGACCGAAACCACCTACAAACATTCTCAAAAGGGCAACTGGAATGAGAAGTGGGGAGAGATAACCCTGAAATTGGACAAGATGCAAAAGCTGTTTGGGAAGAATGAATTAGGTTTGTTTATAATGGGATAAAATAGCATTCCAGAAGTGTCAGTGCTGAAACACAATGAGCTCTAGTTTCCAGTGGGCTGAGGGGTGGGGGTCGGGGTGGGGTAGTGTCCAGTGGGTGGGAACTGGACTCTACCTGATGAACAAAGGATACATCAAAAAGAGGACATAAAAATAAAATTTAAGTTTTTAGTTTCAAAGAAATGTCAGATAACAGACAGTACTTTGTTGGAAGAAATGTCCCCAGGACCTATGAAGTTTCAAGAGACAAAACACAAAGGTTCTAGGCTAGCTTGGAAGCCCCTACCCAGGAGACAATAGGTACTTTGTACAATGAAGGTCTTTGGTATAGCCCAATAAAGGGGCCAAACTAAGGTGGATCTGCTCCAGCTGGAGGAGGATGGGAAGATGGGAGGAAGGAGAGCCCTGCACTCCTCAGCCCCTCCCACAGCAGTCCCAGAGTGGTGGAGCCCAGCCCACCTGCTGGGCAGTGACCCCCCCCACACACACACACACACAGCTGGCCCATCTAGGCAACATCCACTCAACAACCAGCACATGGGCCCTCCTTCAGAGGCTCCCTTTCCAGTAGATCTTCCCACTTCCATGTGCCAGCCCTCCTCCTTGCACCCTTCCCTTCCATGGTGCACTCAGGTTGGAAGAGTTCCTTGGGAGGACTCCTACCCACACCTTGCCAGTCACGGGTTGCCAGTTCCCACCCACTGAACTCTACTCCCCCCCGCCACCAGCCCACTGGAAACTAGAGCTCATTGTGTTTCAGCACTGACACTTCTGGAATGCTATTTTGTCCCATTCTGAACAAACCTAATTCAAGACAAGCGAATGGCATAATGGTTATGTCACTGGACTCCCATGTAGTTGACCATAGTTTGAGTCCTGGACCCAGTGGCTGAAAATTCATGCCAGGTACATATGCATGTGTGCCCAAAAATCCTGAGAGGCGAATGGAGGAGAAGGGATTGCAGCATAGCCATCCCCCCAGGGGTGATTTCTCACCTCCTGGCTCTCTCTCTGTTTGTCTTTCTGGTAAGCATACATACCCTGTATCAAAATTCTCAATTAAAAAATAATAAACTCAATTAAAGCCTTAATGTATATTTATTGTTCTTTATACTTTTTTTAAACTTTAGTCATTTATTTTTTATTTGACCAGAGAGGGACAGAGTGAGAAAGAGAGGGAAAGTAAGAAAGCAAGCCACCAGGTCCAGGATTCAAACCGCAGTTGGCCATGTGAGAGTCCAGTGCCCTTAACCGCCACGCCACATGCCGGCCCCTGTTTTTTATATCTTCTATGAAGTACTTGAATAGGAAAAGCAGAGTACAGTTGTCCCTTTTTCTGGAGAGCACTAAGTAAAATCCAATAGAGAAAAGCAAGATATGAGTAACGCGTGGGAGATGTTACCCAATTCTGAGAAGGTAAATGAGTACATGAATAAATTAATTTATGACTTACAATAAAGACTGCTCAAGTAGAGTTTTAGGAAGCAGAAACCCCAGCAACAAAGAAGTGTCTGCGATGCAGTGCCAGCACAGTGGCGATGAGCAGAGGAACTAACTCGAATCTTCTCTGGAAATCTTTGGATTTCAAGAGCCCAGACCAGCCATGCCATTGGTCATTTTCATGCATGTGGCTCGACTCCTCTGCCAAAAAGTTGTGACCATTCACCTCGCACAGCCAAAGTCTACTCAAGGCAGGCATGGCTTGTCAAAAGTCATGGCAACTTAACAGCCTAAGCCCAGAGTAGGGGCAAACAGAGAAAGGGAAGGCTAGTTAAGGAAGTTCAGCTAAATGCAAAATATGTCAGCAGGTGCTCCCAGCCAGTGACATCCTGGCACTAGGGCTGTATTTCTAATAGTCTATATATCTGCTTTCAAATGGCAGGCACCGTGGCCGAGCAGGACAGCTCTATGACAGAAGAGCAGATTTCAAAAGAAGAAAAGAGTATGAGTTAATGCCCTAAAAAGCTGCTATCTTCTAAAAATAAAGAATTCCGAGGACTTAACCACTAATTACTAATACCTAAATATATCCATAAATAAATTATATGCAAATAGGATAAATGCTCCCATTAAAAAGACAAAAATTGCCCACAGGGTTATTTTAAAAAATGGAAACAAATCAGCTATGTGTTTATTAGAAGAGAGAAACAGACAAAAATATAAGGATAAACAAATACTAAAAATATAAGGATAGGCAAAGAAATACTATGCAAACACTAAGCAAAAAAAGCTAATGCAGCTATTTTAGTACCCAGTAAAGTCAGCCTGTGGGCAAGTGTTAAAGAAGGGCATTACGTAACAACAACAGGGCTAATACCACACTATGTAATGACCCTAAATTTGTACAGACCTAATGCAACTTCAAAAAATTTAAAGCAAAAATAGAAATAGAAATGAAAATAGACAAATTAAAAATGACAATGAAAATTGTTTTCAGAGAATTATTTAATTGTATCTATTATTTTTAAATTTGATATAGGGCACACTTGCTCACCAGAGAAAGAAACAGAGGGGAAAAGTGAGAAAGCAAGCTACCAGGACTGAGACAGTGATCAGTCATGTGGAAGGGGAGGCCAGCACCCCAATCACTATGTCACCTGCTGGCCTCCACAATGAAAGATTTCAACAAAATTAGTGCAGAAGATTTAATTAAGTGTCACCTAATTGACATAGGCAGTGTATACAAACAGTGCCCCCCAAACTGCAGAACACAGCTTTATTTCACATGCACATGGAATATGGACCAGAACAGACTGTAGGCTGGGCTGTAAAATAATCCTCCATGGGGCTGGCAGGTGGTGTGGTGGTTAAGGGCATTGGACCACATGGTCAACCGTGGTTCAAGTTCCAGAACTGCAGCTTGCTTTCTCACTTTCTCTCTCTCTCTCAGTCACTCTAAAATAAGCAAATAACGTTAAATAAAAAATTTTTAAAATAAATAAATAAATAGATAGTTAGATAAAACAACCCTCCAAAAATACTAAATACTGAATCAGAAAGAGCGTATTTTCTGTCCACAGTAAGATTAAGTCTAAAATTGCTAGAGGAAGGAGAATGAAGAAATCTCCATTTGTTTGGAAAAATCAATATACTTCTAACTGGGTCAAAGAAAATGTAATATGGAAATCAGAAAGTATTTGTAACTAGATAATGAATATACAAACATATAATAACTTGTTGTATGATGACAAAGTAGTACTTAAGAGGAAATTTACAGTCTTAGATGGATACATTAAACAAAACTGCTGAAATCAAATATCTAAACTTAATCTCCAGAAACTAGAGCTCTAAAGAGACAGATCTCACATGGCCTTACATGCAGTCTGGACCCTGGATAGAAAAACATCCCAGGTTTGTGATCATGTGTGCCCCAGATCCTAAAAGGATGGGAAAATGGAGAAGGGGCTGCAACAAGACCATGTTCCCCCTCTCTTGTTCCCCCTCTCTGTCTCTCTCTGCCAAGTGCATATGCCCTGTGGCAAAATTTAAAAAAAAAGAAAAAGAAAGAAAAGAAAAGGAAGGCAAATTGAACCTAAATGAAATAAAGAAATGAAAAATGAGAGTGGAAATCAATGAAGCAGAAAACAACTAAATAATAAAGAATATTAACGAAGAAGTTGTTTCTCCCAAAAGATTAATGGAATTAATAAACTTTGAGCAAAACTGCCCCAACCAAATAAATTTAACACAAAAATGGTCACTTGGTGATGGGCATATATTTAAAATGTGTATTCAGAGATCTCTAAATATGTGTGTTATTCTAAATAACTCTATGAAACAAATCCTTTTTTTAATGGCTCAGGTGCTATTAATAAGCACTCTGCCGGCTGGGGCTCCCATAGAGACCATGGACAATGGAGTTCCCGTGTAGCTGATGTGGTTCACTTTCATAACCAAACTGGCATTTTAGGGGAGAATCAAAGCACAAAGTTTAAGAACAAAAATAAATCACCCCCCATAAAATAGCAACACCATCTACGCACTCACTAACCACACCCCCTCCACACAACCCCGAACCCCGTGGCCTGCTTTATCTTCTCTGTGACACTTACAACCACCTGACAAGCTATACTTGTTTATTGTATTTGTTTATTGTTGGTTTCCAGCCCTCACTCCTGCCAACCTGCCAACAAGAAGCTCTGAAGGAAGGGACTTGGTTGTATTCTCTGCTACATCAGTGCCCCAAATATTCTACACTGCATAGCAGGCACACAGATGATAACTGTGGAAGACATGAGTTCTGCTCCTCTCTTCTGTAATTCTTAGAACTGGATCACTACAATGCCCACAGCTGAAAAGTTAAAGCTCCTCCTGTTTCAAATCCAGTGCTATCCCCATTAACTGAGAACTTGGTCCTGCTAGGGGACTATGGCTTAGAATATTGTTTTGTATGGGGACCAGCAGGTGGCAATGGTGGTGGTTAAGGTGCTGGACACTCCCACATGGCAGACTATAGTTCAAGTCCTGGACCTGGTTGCTTGCTTTCTCACTTTCTCTCTCTCTGTCTCTCTCTAGTCAAATTAAAATAAAAGAATGAATGAAGAAAATTAAATAATTCCTTTTAAAATATTGTGTTTTATATTGTTCAAATGTATGTGAAACAATTACTTTTTTTTTTTTTTGAGTGATTTTTGCTATAGGGCACATGCACTCACAGGAGAGACAGAGAGAGACACAGAGAGGGAAAGTGAGAAATCACTTCCTAGGGGGATGGTCACATCGCAATCCCTTCTCCTTCATTCTCTTCTCAGGATTCTGGGCACGCGCACACTTGTTCCCAGCGTGAGTTTCAAGCCACAAAGTCTGGGATTTAAACTACAGTCAGACACAGGAGAATCCAATGCCTTAGCTACTATACCGCATGCTGGCCCCAACAATTACAATTTAACCATGCTTTTCAGGGCTACAGTTCCAGAAGCCATCATTCCTTTTGATATTATAGATTACCACTGACAGTAAAAGATAACTTCTTCAGACTAATGTCAATAGAGACGAGAACTCAGAATAATCATCTAATTAAACATAAACCCACCTTATAAAACTTGTGATGTACACATGCACAAAAGTTGCCATCAAATACTGACAATCGAATCTGTCCATTATTCCACCATGTCCAGGAATGGTGTTTGCAAAATCCTTCAGAAGCAAACAAAAGTTAAAAAAAAATTAACTGTTAGAAATTCCTATCCATAAATCTCTCTTTAGTATCATGAACTCTTTAAGAAAATCCTACTGGGTTATTTTTCACCAAATATAAACGTATTAGAACATTTAAAGTACATCTTTCAAGTATATGCCTGTTTTAGAGTGGTTTCTAAACTAACCCACACACTCAAATAATGACACTAATTAAACATGAATTAAACCTAGCACCAACTTTTTTTAGTTATGGAAGCTTGTCTAAATAAAAATTCTATCAGCCATTACTAATCTCTCCTTTTGCTCCAGCCTATCCATCTGTCTAACCAGAAGCTATTTGGGGAGCCATTTTAGCATTGCTGACAGATGTACAACTGGTTCTAACTCATGTTTATCCTGATAGTTATTACTCTGAAATAAACATTTTACTACTAGGATAAAACATTTTCTCTGTGTTTTTTTAAAATGTTAAGAGTAAAAAGAAAATCAAAACAGCTAGCTCATTTGGGACACGTCAGTCTATTAAGTGGCTGAACTGAGAGAACAAGTAGTTAAACCTCTGCAAATTGACTGTGCAGATAGACTCACGCACCTGAGCACCCAGGAAATGGAAATGGCAAACTGCCCTTTTAGTTCACTCAAGCCACCCTAAAGTATCTACAATGTTCCAGCAATCACACTTTCATTTTAGACATGTTTTAAAAAAATAAAATAACAAAAAAACACTAAGCCATTCAACAAGAAACCTTAGACTGAAGACCATTAGAGAAAATACCATTCTTGGGGCCAGCAGATGGCTTGGTGGTTAAGGCCCTGAACTCCACATGGCTGACCATGGTTCAAGTCTCAGAGCTTCTGGTTTGCTTTCTCATTCTCTCTCTCTCTCTAGTGAGTGCTAGTGCCCTATAAGTTAAAATAATAATAATAATAATAATAATAATAATAATGTTAAATAATTCTTTAATAAAAAAGAAAATACCACTCTAAATATAGCATTTCTCTTTTTAAACACTTATCAAAAATGATTTGATTGGGGTCAGCAGGTGGTATGGTAGTTAAGGCACTTGGTCACCCCCACATGGCCAACCAGGTTCAAGTCCCAGACCTGGTGACTTGCTTTCTCACTTTTCCTCTCTCTCTTTCTCTGGTCAAATTAAAAATAAGTGAATGAATAAATAAAAATTAAATAAATAATTCTTTAAAAAAAATTAAAAAGATTCATTTTTGCCAATCCATTTCCTTTCTTTCCTTTCCTGCTAACTAAAGCATCAGAAAGCCATGGGAACTCAATTTCACTGCTGCTCTGTCGCCTTTACAGGACTTGTCTTGCATGGTTGTGGCTGTAGTTCTCTGCAGATGACGTGTGCTACCCTGCTTACAGGGGTGGCACCATGAGGACAACCTCTTGTACACATCTGCACACTGCATTCCATTGCATGTGGTACCTTGCCCATGGCTGAGGCTCACTGAGTGGATGTACTTTACTGCCCTGGCCACAAAAGCCCTTACATGGCCTGAGCCCACCTGGTTCCATGGTGTCATCTCCAATGTGGCATAGCCACATTGTTCCAGCTCTTCTTCCAACACACCATGCTTCTCCACCACTCTGTACTCTAGAACTCTCTCTCTTAGATTTCTCTGAAGGGATTTTTCCTTCTCTTTTTCTCAGATCTCTGCTCAAGAGAGGCCTCCTTTAGTAGCCATTTTTTAACACCTGAGGGCACAACATTCCACCCTGACTGCCAGAGCATGTGAAAGAGGTTAATAGAACTGAGGCTGCTTTACACTGGTCGAACTTAAACGAAACATACACATCATTTTAACTATCTGGAACAAGGGTTGGCATTCCACGTCCCACTGCCCCAAGCCAGCCCACAACCTGTTTTTATAGTTACAGTAAACTCAGCCATGCCCATTCACTGACATACAGCCATGGAGGGGGCTTTCCTGCTATGACAGCAGAGGCCTAAGTGGAGTCTCTGTGACAGAAGGAATGGTCTGCAAAGACCTTACTAAGCATATTTGTTTATTATTATTCCTATTTACCCTCTGCAGGAAGAACATGATGACCCCTGGTCTAGAATGGACAGTTACACATGCCAAAGGTCTGTGTGGCCCTTCACATGAAACTGTCCTAGACGCCGAACACTGAACTTCAGCAATTCGTGGCTGGATTACTGGAGTGCTCAAGAGACCAAAACTGTGTTATCTAGCCCACATTCAGGGGAAACATGCCCTTTCTATTTAAGACTATGACACTTTAAAACATGTTAACGCAGTGACCAAAACTAGCAAAACAGAGCACACCAAAAGCAGCCCCACAGCACTCCTATGAGGCTGAGAGAAACAGGACCTAAGTTTTTGCCTAGGGACTAAACGTAGACCAATAGGGAACCACAGTCCAGCTCAGTCATGTTCCCTAATAAGGTAAAAAATTAGCTAAACACACCTTGATTTTGAAAGCTCTTTTGAATCCACTGGCAAAGAAGCCTCCAAACGGGCCAATTAAGGATGCGAACGTTGAAAGAGCAATACTGTGTATCTGGAAAGGGTACAAGCTCACTGTCTCCTAAACAGGAAAAAGAGGAGAAAGGGCAAAAAAAAACAAAGCGACCTGCATTAACACTGAGTTTGAGTGCGTCACTGTATCTGACAACCAGAATATAAATGGTAAGTCAAAGCATATTCATTATCAGTTTGCCCAACTTTGAGGCTCATGGGAGAAAACTATATTGTGAACTCCCTGGGGCACCCTCGACTTGGCAGTGCTCTCTGTCCCCTGCAAGCACGTTGACTGGCACTGTGCTTGCTGCAATCAGGTAGGCTCTCTCTAGACTGTCTAGGAACTTGGACAACTTCTTCGTTGTAGGCTTACTACAAATTGGTTCATTTCTAAATTATTTTAAAACCAGCAGTACTTTGCTTTTATAATTATATCATTTTAACTCTGTACTTTATTTCATTGTATTTTATGATGAGATATGGAAAAGTTGTCCTTTTCTCTAAAACTAGATTGAATGCTATGGAAACAAACAAAAAAGATGCTTATAAAAGATGATCAAAATGAGCATCGGGGGCCAATTACAAAAGATTTGAGGAGAAAATCATAAAAATTGAGAAAATTGAGAAAAATTCTGTAGACAAATGATTCTTAGTTCTACTCCTCTTTACATAACCTGAAACTACAAATGGTGAGAGTGGTTCAAAAGAAATGTTTGAAAACACCAGCTGCCGGACCTGTTCTCCAAGGGACAGTCTTATTTCTAATCAGGGATTGGCAGCGTCTAAAGATTCCTAGCAGGTAACAGATGACTTAGCAATTCAAAAAAATTCTTGGAACTTATGTATTTATACTCAAGGTAAGAAATAATTTGTTGGTTAACCTACTTCTCAAATATTATGGGTTTCAGTTAAAACTAAAATGTTGAGATACACACACATGTGGGCAAGGATCCACACATAACTATGTGGCGGCCCACTTGACTGGACCCCCACGGTTCAGTGAGGTTCCGTGAGACAGCACATCAACACCCTTCCCTGTGAGATCTCAATGATGCCTCTGAGGCAGCAGTGTGCTTTTGGAAGGAAACTGATTTTCAGAAGTTAGACGCTTTCTCTACCAATAAATGTCCTCTACAAATCAAGGGCTCTTTAAACTTTTGAGTTGTAATTAATTTTTAAATTGAATCAATTCATTCCAGTAACATGTGAAACTCAATCTAATTCGTTTGTTTCACAAAAAACTTAAGGAATACTGAAAAATGTTCCCAAAACAAATTATCATCAGTATTTAAATCAATAGACAAGTAAATTCTTAGCATACAACTGATTTGTAATAGTAATACTTTATGTTCACGAAATAAAAGGACAGAATATAGATAGGTAGACACTAAAACCAGGTCTACAACACAGAGTTACAAGCTTTGCACATTAGTTTCTTATAAAAGTCTAAACCCCACTTTTAAAGGAAGGATAATCTTCACAGTGGACGATCCCTAGAACTGCACGTATCTTGAACCTCTCCTCTTACCCGTCTCAACACTGCCTTCAGAAAGGGAGGGAGTGAGTAACTCTGAAGCTGGAAAAGTTCCGAGGGCTCACATTCCGTAACGAAGGAGTTGACGTCACTGCGATATTCCACCGGGCAGACAAAGTACTGGTATTTGGATAAGACATATGCAGCCTGAATGAGAAAGCAAGAGCTTATGAAACAATGGATAAATACATGTTTTTAAGTTTAATGCACCAGGTCAAGGATACGATGCTGGAATTTCTTTGAAGAAACATTCTGCTATATATATTTTTTCAAAGTTACATGGCCATAATTGTCTCAGTAAAAGACTTGAAAGTCTTTTAGCCAATGAAGTGTTTGAAGTCAAAGAAATTGTAATCTCTGGATGACCACAACTATTAAAGTACAGGAGAGTAAAGGACTAAAGTCTATTGTGGACAAGCTTAGATTAATTTCATCAGTTAATAATTAACCAGTCATTCAAAATTACTAAGAAAATAGTGCAAAATAGGGGAAAATACCACTACTCACAGTCAACCCTCAAAACCTGGACTAACTTATTCTTTATCTAGCTATATCACTATACTTTTTAAAACAAGTTGTCGAGGCTGGCGGGTGGTATGGTGGTTACAGTTCCGGACTTCCACATGGCCTGGATCTGAAGCCTTGCTTTCTCACTTTCTCTCTCTCTGATCAAATTAAAAATTAGTCAAAAATTTTTTTAGAAAGCTGTCTTCAGCCACAGAAGTAGAAAACACATAAATATATTATTCTAAATTTAAATTGCTAGACATTAGCTTATTCTTTTTACTTTCTCTTGTTGTCATTCACCCCATTATTTTGTTCAAGAATGATTAGCAAAAATCCAAATACAACACTAGGAATGGATATAAACTAATTTTGCTTCCAAACAACTAGCTACCTCAAAACCATTTGTTAAAATAATATGCATAATTTCCCTTCTCATGATTTTTCATGAATTATATTCTCATGGGCTAGCTTTTTATCTTCCAATGGTGAAGTTATTCCTGCAGTATTTCCAAATTAATAATACCAAGATCTTACAATAATATATAACTTAATGTTTTAATTATTCTTGTTTCATCATGTATAAATAATGGATAGGACTGGATCCTTTTTCATTATCTATCAAAACTTTAAAATAATTTTATTAAATTCTACTGGAATTTTCATTGAGAATGAACTCCATTTATAAACTAAATGGAGGAATTATAGTGATTTTCTCATCTAAGATCATAGCACATTTCCATTTATTTGTATTGTGTTCTCTTTTGAAGCTAAATGTTGTTACTAGTTGCTGTATGTTCGGATATAGAATAGAACTACAACTTTCAGGGACTAGACTTGAAAAAACAAACTTCCTAATTGTAATTTTTTATATATTTGTCTTATATCCGGTCATTTTACTGTACCCATACTGATTTTCACTACTCTTTAACAAAAATCTGATTCCATAAAGTAAACTAATTTTCATAGTTACATGTGAACAATTAGTTATGTATAATTTACAGCCTCTTCCTGCACATTGGGTTCACAGTAACCAGCCATTAAGCCACATGACCGCTAAGTGTTCAAAGGCAGAGCTCTTAGGGGGTCCAACAGGTGGCATGGTAGTGAAGGTGCTGGATTCCCACATGGCTGACTGTGGTTCAAATTCCAGACCTGACAGCTTGCTTTCTCACTTTCCCTCTCTGTCTCTCCCTCTGGTCAAATTAAAAATAATATTAATAAACATTATATTAATAAAAGAAAGGCAGAGTTCTTCAACATACTGGGTTGTCGAAAAAGTCATGATACACTTTTGCATAGAAAAACACAGAAAAATTTCATCATGATTTTTCCAACCTAAAAATTTGTATTCTCTGATATTCAAAGCCATCACCTATCCCAGCACCTGTCTTCCATACGACAGAAGAGTTGTTAGAAACTACCAAATCACCACAGCAAAACACTGGGCTCCAGACTAGTGTACATGAGAACCATGTGGCAGAACTGATAGGCTGGGACACAGATTTTAAGATCCCCAGATGATTCCGCTATGGAGTCAGTATGAGAGCTACTGGAGTAGAGAATCAATTCTGCTCTCTATATATCAATAAAATAGATAATTAGCAATTTGGCTTAATGTTTTTAGGTTTAGAATAGTCTAATAAAGTTGGTACAGTTTTTTCAAAATATAAACCCTAGTAAGACTCACAATGAATCCAAACACAACTGTGGAAAAGAAACCGCCAATGAATCCTTCCCAAGTCTTCTTGGGAGACAACTAAAAAAAACATCAAAAAGAAAGAGTTACTACAGTTAAAAGTAAACACACACACACACACACACACACACACACACAGTACATATATAAGCTCTATTCAGGGAGTTTCCTTAATATCTTGTACAGGGGTCCTCAAAGAGTTCATGTAAAAGGTATATTATGAAAAAAACTATGCAAGGATTTCAAAAGTTTTTTCACCGAAATAAAGTCATACTTTAATTCCATTTTTTCACACCTTTTTGAAGTCCCCTTGTACATCTCCTCTTCCTACATTTTTCTTATTAGAATGGCCCTCATTTATTTGTGCGAATATCTGCAGTTGTAATTAACACATATCGGTCCTCAAATATTTGATATGCTTTGAATACTGGTTGGTTCCTATTAAATAACCTCAATTGTTTTTTTTATTTTAAAGGACTAAAAATTGTATACCAAAATAACCATCCCAAAACTGATGCTTACAGAAACCCTCATAAAGGCTAAACTAAGTTTTTGATGAGATATATTCACTTTAAGTACATAAGGTCAGTATTGATCTGTTAACTGGCAAAAAAAAAAAAAAAAAAAAAAACCACCAGAATGAATACAACAAAACATGTACCCTACAGCATACTAGATTTTCATATAGTCTTAACATGCCACACACAAAACAGACCTCGTTCTGGAATGGTATATATTCCACAGCCCCAAATACTATGATTGCTCCTCGAGGATTCATACATCCTTCTCCTTTTTCCATAAGCTATAGTCTGCTCCAGGGTAAAGAGGAAGATGCTGTGCTTAGGAATAGATGCTATTGGTTTCAGATTTGGGCTATTGTTTCCCAGTCAGGGAAACTACAGAGTATTCAGGGAGGAATATCTGGAGGAAAATCTGGAATTTGGTGACGAGAGGGCAGAAGGGAAAGATTCAGGTGTGGATGAGGCAAAATACCCAGAAGTGCAACAGGAGATAGATGGAGATGTGTACGGGGACTTGATTATCAGACCACTGATGACATCTGTCACTCATTTTTGTGAAATAGCAGGGACAGAAACCAATTACAGAGAGAAGTTTCTGAGAAATAAATGGGTTACGGGCCAAGCTACATGAATTGTTATGGATCTTTTATCCTGATAATCACAAAGCCCTAAACCAAAATGGCTGTCAGAAATGATTTCTTTGAGCCAGCAGGTGGCATGATGGTTAAAACAGCTGGATCCCACACGGCCAACAGCATGGTTCAAGTCCCATACTCAGCTGCCTGAAAAACATGCCGGCATGTGCGTGGCATGCCCAAGGCACTGGAATGGTCATCGCCCCGGGGGGGTACTTTCTCACTTTCCTCTGCTCTCTCTGGCAAATGCATGCACCCTGCAGCAAATTTTTAAAAAGAGAAGTGGGGGCCAGCAAGTGGTGTGTTTAGAGGAGCTGGATTCCCACATGACTGACATGGTCTGAGACCCAGACCGAGTGGCTTGCTTTCTCACTTTCCCTTTCTCTCTCTATCTCTGTCTGGTCAAATTAAAAAATAATAATAACAAATAAAATTAAATAATTATTTTTTTTTAAAAAGTGAAGAAATGGTTTCTTAAAAAAGCTGATGATTGTTCTATAGAGAAGAACACACAGCTTCTTAGGATAACTTGCTACTATGGCAGTTAAGTGGACTACAGTTCAAAAGTACTCACTGATGGGGAACCAGCAGTTAGCGTAATGGCTATGTCGCTGGACTCCCATGTAGTCGACCGCGGTTCGCGTCCCAGACCCTGTGGCTTAGAACTCACACCGGGTGCATGTGCGTGTGTGCCCAAGATCCCGAGAGGAGAATGGAGGAGAAGGGATTGCGGTGTGACCATCCCCCCTGGGGGGTGATTTCTCGCTTTCTGTCTCTATGTCTCTCTCTGTCTGTCTGGCGAGAGCATGCATCCTATAGCAAAAAACAAACAAACAAACAAAAAAAACCTCTCCAAAAGTACTCACTGATGATTGATTGAGAGAGATTTTTGCTATAGGGTGCCTATGCTCACCGGAGAGACAGAGAGAGACAGAGAGACAGAGAGCGAGAAATCACCCCAGAGGAGTGATTTCCCTTCCTTGCTTGCCCTCTTGCATTTGACCAGTATTTTAGTGTAGCATTCTACAAGCTTTTTTTTTTTTTTTTTAAATAACTTTGGGTGTAAAAGTCTGACCAAAGGTCTCCAGTATGTGAAGATGGTAAAATTCACTCTTTTAGGAAGTTTGGTAAGAAAGGGGATAGATGAAAAGACAGCCTGAGGAGAGAGGCAAGGAAAAGCCTTTCACAGAGTGGGAGGGAGGTAGATGAAGAAGCCCTGCACCAAGGGCTAAGAAAAGGAAATCAGGGGAAGATGAACCAATAATTCAAATGTGAAGGCAACTGAAGGAGGCTAGCCCTTGCTAAGGAGCTAGTAGACCAACTGAGGAAGAACCAAGGTAGAAGGAACTACTGGAAATCCGGCTCACTGCCCCACACCGTGGCTACTAAGAGCAGCTGAGGGAAGTCAAGGCGTCTCAGAAATGTAACCCGTGTGACAGCACCACCTTGCTGGCTCAGCGTTAAGGCTATGATAGTGGCTTGCTTTTAATATTTTCCCATTACCTTAATTAATGGAGTTCTTCCAAAAAAAAATCCAAAAAGGTAAGCAGTTATATCATTGCAGATAACACTTGATATTGGAACAAGGAACCTTTAGAAATAAAAATCAGCAGAAAAAAAGTCCATATGATTAAGTATCAAATATGCATACAGATTATGATTCATAATGAATAACCCTGGGATTGTCTGCAGCCTAGTCAGGACATCAGCAGAAACAATAAATATCAACCAAATTTGGCCTTTCGGCAATTTGAGCAGAGAAAAGCTACAAATAGACTGACATACAATTGGGTCATCGGGAAAGTCATGCTGCATTTTTGCATAGAAAAATACGTCATGGGACCAGCAGTTAGCGTAATGGCTATGTCGCTGGACTCCCACATAGTCGACCATGGTTTGCATCCTGGACCCGGTGGTTTAAAGCTCACACGGGGCGCATGTGCGTGCGTGCCCAAGATCCCGAGAGGAGAATGGAGGAGAAGGGATTGCAGCGTGACCATCCCCTCTGGTGGGTGATTTCTCACTTTCTACCTCTCTGTCTCTCTGTCTGGCGAGAGCACACGTCCTACAGCAAAAACCTCTCAAAAAAAAACAACGTCATGACCTTCCCAATGACTTAATAGAAGAATATTGCTAAGGAAAAATATTAAATTACCAATTTCTGTAGTATGGACATCTAAACTGTCATTTTATGGGGAATAAGTTATAATAAACAAAAGGTAAAAGTTTATCTTAAGAAAAGTAGCCTTTTAAAATGGAAATGTTTACAGTATACTTTGATACATTCACATAAAGTTCTTAATACAAATTCCCCTTTGAGAAAAAGTAGTCATTTTAATTCTTTCTTAGTGTGACTACATTTGATTCTACTAACTGTGCAGAACCTACTTACTTTTACAACTGACCCCACCAATTAAAAGTCAGTATATATAAGATAATCTTCAATTCCAGATGTTTACACACTCACATTTCAGTAAAAACCATAAGACTATTAAGACAATAAAAGTTATCTTGAAAACCCACTGACTGTTAAAGATCTATAATTAATGCCTCACATGTGCTGGTAGTGGCTACTACTCAGCAGAGGCCACACGGGAGGCCTGGGTTCAATTCCTGAACCACCCTAAAAACCCAGACATAGTGGCATGCTTCCGGAGTCCCAGATACCTGAGAGGCTGAGGCAGAAGGATGGCGAGCTCACTGGCAGTGTGGGCAGCACAGCGAGACCCTGTCCGAGAGGGCCAGGTGTGGTAGTGTGCACCTGTGGTCCCAGCTACTTGTGGACTAAGGCAGGAGGACTGTAACACAAGACCCTGCTTACAATAGTATAGACACACGTAGGGCTGGGTCTGTGCGGCAGCGGCAATGCACTGCTGATCACTGCTACATCTACCTGGAAAATCACAGGTTCAGTTCCCCAGTCTGCCTGTACAGGCCCGTTACACACCCTCACAGCCTAGGAAGACTAGTGGAGGAATGGCAGTGTGGGACCCGGGAAAGGGTGCTTATCTGTCTGTCTGTCTCGCCCTCTCACTCTCATGAAAGAAACTTCAAAAAAAAATTATACATATACAATATAAATAAAATGAATATGGAGAAGATACGGTCTGATTTTTTAAAAATCTTAAAGCTTTTCCTTCATTCCAATTGATTTTAACTAATAATAAGTTTTATAATTTTTGATATAATTTTTATTTAAAATGCAATGAATTGTTTGGGGCTTCTATAGGGACCTTCTGCATGTTATTTGGACCTTGAATAAAAAAGGTTTCCACTTGTTAATGAAGTATTTTTGTCTCCAGTTGTCAAATAGCAAGCAACAGCCAGTAAGCTACTTTTGGAACAGAAGCACAACAAACAGAAGCTTTTAGTAGAAATCTGCAAGACACTGACCCATGTTTAAGAGCTTTAAAAGTGCTATGAAATAAATAAGGCCACGTAATTTTGTTCCCTTACCATATCATGCCTTCAAACAGATTTTGGATGACAAGATGCGACTGAGTAACGGTTATCAGTAACGTGACATGAGTCCATGCGAACTGTTAACAGCCCAACAACACAAAATTAGTGAACACGACTGATCAGAGCAGGCAAAGAAGCAACCGCAACTTCGAAACACAAAATTGCTACCATGACTTTTGGGCAGGATGTTTAGATAAGGTCATACACAATGAATGGCATTAGTAAGTTATATTCATTCTGCTGTCTACTTGAACTTTTAAATAATACAAACGTTTAACAAAGTAATCTTAGATAGAATGCCAATAACTTACACATGAATGAGAAGCTAAGAATACTGATTTCTGGCTAATTTAAAAAACACATATATTGGCTTAACGGTTGCAGGATGTTTAGATAAGGTCATACACAATGAATGGCATTAGTAAGTTATATTCATTCTGCTGTCTACTTGAACTTTTAAATAATACAAACGTTTAACAAAGTAATCTTAGATAGAATGCCAATAACTTACACATGAATGAGAAGCTAAGAATACTGATTTCTGGCTAATTTAAAAAACACATATATTGGCATAACGGTTGTGTTACTGGACTCCCATGTAGTTGACCACAGTTCAAGTCCTGGACCCGGTGGCTTAAAACTCACACCGGGCTCATGCGTATGCATGCCCCAAATCTCAAGGAAAATGGAGGAAAAGGGAATGCAGCGTGGCCATCCCCCCAGGGGGTGATTCCTCACCTTCTGTCTCTCTGTCTCTCAAGTGAGCACACATGCCCTATAATAAAAATCTCTCTCTCAAAAAGAAAAAAAAAAAGGCATATAAAAAATAAACCAGTCTCGGGAACCAGCAGTTAGCGTAATGGCTATGTCGCTGGACTCCCACGTAGTCGACCACAGTTCGCGTCTCAGACCCGGTGGCTTAAATCTCACGCCGGGCGCGTGTGCGTGCGTGCGTGCCCAAGATCCCGAGAGGAGAATGGAGGAGAAGGGATTGAGGCGTGACCATCCCCCCCTGGGGGGTGATTTCTCGCTTTCTGTCTCGATGTCTCTCTCTGTCTGGCAAGCACACGCGCCCTATAGCGAAAACCTCTCCAAAAAATAAATAAATAAATAAATAAACCAGTCTCGAATTGATAGATTTAAATGATCATGAGAAATGTATGGTGCTATATAAAGACATTTCAAGAGAAACTTTTCACTCTGTCTAGGTTGAGCAATTATAAAAATGGTAAATACTGGGACCAGCAGTTGGTGTAATGGTTATGTTGCTGGACTCCCATGTAGTCAATCGCAGTTTGAGTCCTGGACCTGGTGGCTTAAACTCACTCTGGACATGTATGTGTGTGTGCCCAAGATCCTGACAGGAGAACGGAGGAAAAGGGATTACAACATGGCCATCCCCTGGGGTAGGGATTTCTCTCTTTCTGTGTCTCTCTTTCTGGTGAGCGCATGCGCCCTATTGCAAAATCCACTCAAAAAAAAAGAGGAAAGAAAAATGGTACAAACTTTTTCTTTCAGAGTTTAGTACATTCATTTTTCCCCATAGTTATTTCTAACTTAAAGTGGTTTAAACCAGCAAGTTCAACTTCTCAGAAGCCCTACACTTTCATCCTTGAAAGGTGATCGTCACAATTCTCTCCAATGACAGCTTTCAAATGTTAGTTTCAAAGGCCTTTGTGCTTCTTTGATTCTATCTACCCTGAGAGATGGCCACTCAGTGACTTCTAGCATAACTAGGCCTGAATGTGAACAAAAAGAAGCTTCGAAGTCCTACAATTCTGACTGAAATTTATAAGACGACTTAATAAATTTGTTTCCCACTTTAGAGAACAAAATACTATATTGTCTTGTTTTACCCTATTTTTATCTGTCTAAAAAGATCTAGTTCTCACTTATCTCTTTGCTCTGAAATGCATAAGTGATTTTTTTCCCCACCAGGCACCAATTATACTTCCACAGGAGAGTCTACTATTTCTAATGTGTCTTGATTTTTTCTAGATTTTCAATAAGAATTTGACTCTTCACTCTCAGATGCCCTGCCATTAGAAATATAAGGACTACTCGGGATCAGCAGGTGGCATGGTGGTTAAGGACTCTGGACTCTCACATGGCTAACCATGGTTTGAGTCCCGGATCTGGCAGCTTGCCTTCTCACTTTCCCACTCTCTGTCTCTCTCGTTCACTCACTCTATCCCTCTCTGGTCAAATTTAAACAAAGAAAGAAAGGAAGAAAGAAAGAAAGAAAGAAAGCTAAATAAAATAATTCTTAAAAAAAAAAAAGAAATATAAGGAATACTACCATTTCCCAGGAATTAATGTCTGCGTAATGTCTGAGTGCAGACAAGCAAAGCATGAATAGGAAATACATTCCCAATCCAAAAGAAGCCTTACTAATGCATAAATTCATGGATCTAAACAGTACAACATACAGTCTCATAATTCGCTACAGTTTAAGAAAATATGAGAAGTTGATTATGTACAGTGACAAATTCCCTCAAGCACTGACTTTGAAACACTGAACAAAATACCTTATGCCAAAAAGAATTATGCAGTCCTACGACTAACCTTAGCTACCCAGAAAGTAAATGCTCTGCTCCCCTCGAACTCATGCCAAGGGCAAAAAAATATAGTTAGTTACTCCCCATAGACAAATACCATAGTGGGTCATCAGAAAAGTCGTGTTGCCTTTCTGCATAGAAAAATACATCATGACTTTTCTGATGACCCAATAGATGCTTCCCAGACCTAGGAGCTGTGCAGAAGACTGAAAACTCATCCAATTTCAAAAAAAATTCAGGGAGTCCAACTACTTTACCTTGACAGCCTTTCACAATAGTGAGGGGAGAAAAAGTTGTTAGGAACTTAGAAAACAATGGAAATCTTAAAATCCTCTAAATCTTGTCGACTTCCATATTTCACATTTAGTAGCCATCCGAAATGGAAATTGCTCGCACATGCATGCAAGACATGAACGAGCAGATCAGATCATACCTTCTCACTACAGAAAATGAAAACAAAAGGTTTTTATTATGCAAAGTGACTCCGGAAGGATGGCGAATACGCACCATGTAAAACTGCAGGCGGTAGTGTTTCTTCACCAAGCTCAGGACGAACATGCAGAAACCTGTTCAGGAAGGAAAGCACAGGCCTGTTGTGCAATTTGGTACAAGAAGAAAGATTCTCTGAGCCCAAATAAGCCGATTTCCTATTCCACATCTAGGCACATTTCAGCTGCTCACTCACTCACAGGCTCTCCTCCTGTCTTCTATTAAGCATTTGAAATAAGTGTCCTGAGGGAAACAATCCTGCACTCTCTGAAGTACCTCATTTATTCCATGGCACAAATTTAATAAACACCCCTTACATTAATGAAGCAAACTAGTCCCTTGCTGATATGTGGACATGGAAAACACATCTTGAATTTCATTTGAGTAATACTTGTTACATGGATGCGGCAAAGTATGTACAGGAGGTTTTTGATTTTTTTCTCTATTCATGATAAAATACCTGCACATGCATGTAAGAGAGACAGAGAGATGACCCTCCACAGGGGCTGGTCACACCACAATCCCCTTTCTACGCTGGCTCCTGAGTATGAATTTGTGCCTGCCGTGTTTCAGGCTGACCAGGTCAGAGATTTGAGCTGTGGTCGCCATGTGAAACCTGGCTTCTCTTGGACAGCGTATCCGCACTATGCCACCTGCCAGCCCCATATAGAATATTCTTAACCTCTATGCAATACAAAATGTAGTAACTACTATGGCAACTAATGTCTACAGAACCCTTTTATGTTCCAGACTCTTGTCTAAGCATTTTACACATACTGTTTCATTTAATTCTTCCCACATCCCTGTGAATCAGATATCTATGATTATCTCCACTATACAGATGAAGAAAAATGTACAAAGAGCTTTATTAATTTACTGAGGAACGGGACTAGCAGGTGGTGTGGTGGTTAAGGCGCTGGATACTCCCATATGGCCAACTGGGGTTCGAGTCCTGAATCTGGTGGCTTGCTTTCTCACTTCCTCTCTCTCTCACTCTCACTCTCTGTCTCTCTCTGATCAAACTAAAATAAATAAATAAATAAATTAAATTGAATAAATAATTCTTTTAAAAATCATATGACTTCATTTTCCATATTCTTTTTCCTTTTTTTTTTTCTTTTAGAGAGGTTTTTGCTATAGGGCTCTTGCGCTCGCCAGAAAGAGAGATAGAGAGACAGAAAGCGAGAAATCACCCCCCAGTCTCTTCTCCATTCTCCTCTTGGGATCTAGGGCACGCACAGGGTCCAGGACTCAAAACGCAGTCGGCTACATGGGAGTCCAGTGACATAGCCATTACGCTAACTGCTGGTCCCAAAAAGAATTATTAAAAAATTTACTTAAAAAATTATATATATAAAAAAACCCTTTCTAAAAAAAAAAAAATTTACTGAGGAACAAAGGGTTGGGAAGGAAATACTCAGATCCTGACCTTGAAAGTCAAATGGTTTTGTGAACCACTATCTTAATTCAAGTTGAGAGTGACTTGAGGGGCCAGCAGGTTGCGTGGTAGTTAAGGCACTGGACACTCCCACATGGTCAAACATGGTTCGAGTCTCAGACCTCTCTCTCTTTCTGTGTCTTTTCTCTGATCAAATTAAAAGAAATGAATGAATAAATAAAATTAAATAATTATTTTTTTAAAAAAGGAATAAGCTTGAAATTCTTAAAACCATATTACAATAAGTATAATTAAATGTAATACTCTTAATAATTACTAGATTTATAAACAGTATTTGTGTCCATGTTTATATCCTACAGACATATTACAAAGAAAATTAACAAAAATAAAATTTATTGCCCAATTAAGTAAAATGTAATAAACATACATTTAAAAATAGGAGGTAATGGGGCCAGCAGATGACATGGTTAAGATCCTGGCTCCCACATGGCTGACTGCAGTTTAAGTCCCAGACCTGGCTGCTTGAAAATCATGCCAGGCATGTGTGCATGCATTCCCAAAATCCCAGGAGAAAAATGGCGAAGGGATTGTGATGTGGCCATCCCCCTCACCCACCACCCCTACCCTGAGGGTGATTTCTCACTTTCCTTCTCTTTTTCTCTGTCTCTCTCTGATGAGCACACACACCCTATGGCAAAAATCTTTCTTTAAAAAAAAAG